GTCTGTCAGTGGGAGGCAAAGTCTTGTTGATTGAGATGTCCTTAGAGCTCTGTCCCTTTAATCGCTATATCTCCAGATCTCACGCCATTTCGTACCAATCGGTGTAGACCTGGCCTAAGTCCGGATTGTTTTACGCTTTACTCCGTGAATCCACAAGGCAACCAACGAAAGGTACGGCGAAAGGCTTGGCAAAAGTCTTGATTTCGAAAGTAATAAATAAATGGATTGATTGCTGATGAAGCAAATGCAACTGCATCAACCCAAGGCCATACAACAAACAGCAATGAACGCATTTTGTCCTTGTTATTTTCTATGGCATAATTAATATCAAATACCATCAGAACTAAACTTGGCATCCATGTGATGATGCAAGGACCCAAAACAAAGCCGACTGTTTTTATAGCTTTGAAATTTTGTAAAGTACGAACTTTGATATTTTCGTTGTAATTTCGAGAATTTTCATCTCCACATATCCTTTTAAATTGTTCTTTTGCTGCTTTTAAAATACAGATGTATGATAATGAAACTATCACTAATGGAAAAAAAAATGTTATAAATGTTAAAGAAAACCAAAATATTGCTCTATTTATGTCTCCCGCGTTTGTCACCGACAACTTCGAGAAAGGAAGACATAATGACAATAACCACACCAAAATTACCACTGTGTAACATCTTTTCTTGTTTACCATGTCCTGATAACGGAAAGGAAACCGAATGGCAATGAATCGGTCGACAGAAACACAACAAATGTTGAAAGTGGTGGCGGCGGTTGTGTAAATCCACAACATTAATGTTAATTTGTGCAAAACGCTAGGAGACGGGGGCTCAATAAAAAATCTGATGGCTATCCACACAGGATCTATCACAAGCCCAACTAAAAAGTCTGCTACCGACAACGAGGCTAAAAATCGGTTGGAAACTGTCCGTAGAACAACCACAACACAACTGCATTTCCAGTAACAGACGCAATACTGCACAAGGAGAGCCACAATGATAGAACGATGGACGCTGCACTGCTCAGATATTCTTCAGGTTGGCCATCATCCATGGTAAGATGGTGTACAGCTACAGCAGAGGATAGAAATTAAGCTTAGAGAAAGTTTTAAATTTTTCTTGTTCTCTCTACCAACCAAACAAATGTTTCTGAAACTAAAATGTTTTTGCGTAAATCATATTATTCTATTTATACAGATATAATTTCTTTTGACAGGTACGTCGAATTGATTGAAGTCTGAACATTTGAAGTTTCACAAAACGGTGAAAGAGATAGATACCACAACACATCTCTGAAAAATATAACGAAATTCGTATTTATACATCAGTTAATCTTCCTTTGTCTTTCATCAACGATAAAAGAGAAACTCAATCACATTTGACTTTTCATGAATTCAAAAGCTTGAAAATTACTGATACTTGACAACTAAGTTTGCTCTGAGATGCAGTTGTGGATACTCAAATTATAAACGGCCCCTGGTTAAAGCAGTTTAAAGCTTATGGTGATAGTGACCATATTCATGCCAAGGACTTGATTCCAAGTGAACGAAATGTAGTAAAGAAAATGACAGTGAAGCTCTAATTCTGGGTCGTAGTCTGACAATTGAAAACAAATCTGTGTTTAAAATGAAATATGACTTCCAAATAGTTCTTTATCTGAATATGTCATCAGTATATTTATCAATGTCCGTTTTTCGGCTAACTGTTAGGAGAAAAGTTGATTTTTCTTTAACACTATGTTAGGATTTTCCTTTATTCTTCATTTTCTTTTTGATAAACTTACAGCTTGGACAACTAGCACTAAACGTAACAGAACATGTTCACAGTGCTTTTAAAGGTGCCACGAGCTAGGCTGCCAATCCTACTCTTTTCTGGGTAAATAATTCCGAACTCAGTAACGAATCAGTAACGCGCGTTAAATTCTAAGAAATAAACTCTTTTGAGTTACTTGCTCTTTTCTCGGCACGACTCTCTTCTCGATTTCTCACATATTTCTAGTCAAGAACACTTTTATTAATTACAAATTTATCATAGAGGATAGAAAGTAGAAGTTGTTTACACCTACAATCATCCTGAAAGAATTGAACATAAAAAATTAAACATAGTTTACTT